CAAAGCAAACTTGGGGCTGCAGTGGGGGGTTGGGGTGGGGACGCCTCCATCCATCCCCGGATGGCAGCCTTGGTCACCTCGCTAAGATCGGGGCGGGGGCGGCAGTGGGGGCGAGCGGGTACCGCCCCCCCCCCCAGCGCCGCGGCAGCTCAGTAACACGTCCCCAGGAGACTCGCAGGAGCAACACGTGATGTGTCTACTTATCAGGGTGAGAGGGGGAGAGCGAGCTCGGGGCGTGCGGGCGAGGAAGCGGGGCGGGGGGCCGGGGCGGGGGCCCGGACCGCGGCTGGGGCGCTGGGGTCGCCAGCTCCGCGCCCACCTCCCTTCCAGTGGGAGAAGAGGAGGAGGGGAAGTGACTGCGGAGTTGATGAACTTTGCACATCCAGAAACGCCATTTTGATTCCTTTTCCGGAACAAGTTTGCATCTCTCCTCGTCCTCTCCCCGCAGCCCACCGGTCCCCACCGCATCATGCCTGGGAGCCAAGCGCCCCGCCGGGCCGTAAGTATGCGCCCTGGGCTCCGGCTCGCGGACCTCGCTGGGGTGGCAGCGGGATGTCCGGGGCTCAGCCAGAGCGACCTTTTAAAGAACTTTTTTGGAGATGGGGAGGGTGAGGGCTGCAGTGCGCGTTGTACTTGGGAAACTCTGCGTCTCCGGGGCGCAGGACCCCGCAGCCTCGTGCAGCGCGCGGCGTGCGCTCGGGGCGGTGGGCCGGGGCGCCGGGAGGAGCGGGGCAGCCAGCCTCTCCCTCCGGCCGCGCGCCGCCGCTGCTCCTCCTCCTCCTCCTCCTCCTCCTCCTCCTCCCCTTCCTCCGCTCCTTTCCCCTTCCCGAGCCGCGGCTCTGCCAACCAGCTCCCGGCGCGAGCCGCCGCAGCGCCCCGCCAGCGGGACCTGATGCGCATCCATATTAGCCGTCCGAGCGCAGGAATCCGGCCCGACCCGCGCCGCCGAGTTTATTTTTAACCAGCACCGCGGGGCCTCGGATGGTGCGCGCACCGCCGGCCTGAAACATCTTCCTAGCGCTGCTCTCCATCTTCCGCCCTCTCTCCCCCGACATCCTCCCCCCCATGTGGGAGGGGAAACTTTTCTCCTACATACTTTCGAGTCCCTCTCGGGCCGGGAAGCTTGGAGATGACGGCGCCCGCCCGCCTGTCGTCGCCAGTACCGAAAGGTATCCGGGGGTGCCCGCCGAGGGCTGGGGGTGTCCGCCGGGGGTGCAGGGCGCGGGGGTGCCACGCTCGGTGGGAGCATCCGCCGCGTCCTGCTACGCGGACTTTGATCCCCGGGGCGGAGGGCGCCGGGCCGGAGGGGGCCTCGGACTGTCCAGCGTCCCGGCCCGATCTCGGCGGGGGGCGCCGGGAGAATGGAGGGGACCCAGCCCCTGGTGGCTCGTATTGTTCGCTGATCTCCCATCGGCGGGGTGCATGTTTCCGTGGGAGCCCTAGGCGTGGGGAGAGCCTGCATCGCGGTGTGGGGGGGTGCTCGGCAGCCGGCGCCGTCACGAGCACAGGAAGGAGGCCCGGAGCATCCGAGGCGGGGCGGCCGCCGGGCCCCTCCGCCGCCCAGCTGTGCAGCGCGCTCGCTCGGAAACTTTTGTCCGCCGCCCGCTGGACCAATTTTTTTTTTTGCGAGTTCTGGGGCTCAGTTTCCTCCTCCCATCCTGGCCGGCTGCGCCGAGCTGGTGGCTAGGGCGCGGTGGTGGTGGTGGGGGAAGCTGTGCTGAGAGACCAGTGCTGGCAAGGCTGGATGGGGGGGGGCGAGGAAACCCGGGGCGCCCCCCCTCGCGGTGCGCTCAGCTCCCGCGCCCCCTCCCCTCTCGCAGTCTCTTAGGAAACTGCGACCTTAACGGTTGCTAAGGAGCAGGGGAGGTCCTTTCCGTCGCCAGCCCCCTCCCTGGGAAGCGGCGTGTTTTCTGGATGTGGGCCGGGGTCGTGGCCAGGATGGGACGCGCTTCCTCCCCTCCACACTCCCCTATGGCCACGCGTGAGTGCGAGGTGCTTGGCGGGTCGGGGGGATTGGGGGGCGCGGGCCGGGCGCTTGACAGGCGCGGCGTGCAGCTCGCGTCCCTCGTCCGCGGTGCATCGGTGATGGGTTATAAAAGAGGAGGAAAGTAGTTCTCCTTGCTCAGCAGATTTGCCCTCCCTCGCTCCTTACTGGTTAGGAGATAGAACGTGAGCCCAGATCCGGACGAGCAGTTCACATTCCATTACGAAATTCTACACGGCTGCAGAGCCAGTCCTAGCACACTTTTCGGGCACTTTGGAGGGGGTTTCTCTAATTTTTTTGGAGGATGCTAAGTGGTGGTGGTGGAGAGAGAGAGAAGGGTGAATTAAAAAAAAAAAAAAAACACAACTTTTTGGCATGCTGAAAAACCTGTCCGGGGGTTTTCCTCAGGAGTTCAGTTCCCCCTCGTTTCTTGCTTTGGAGTTTAGATTTAACTTTAAAAGCCAATGGAAAGAAAGTTTGCCTGTTGGATAGGGATGCTGGAAATTGCGAGGTATAGCTGATTTGAAGGACAGTTGAAAGAGTTGTGCAAAGGCTGAATTGCTGGCATGTGTCCCCCGTTTTTGAGACCCCCCTCTTTGTATAATGTAATGATCTGTGCATGTGTTCGAGAGTATTGTGAAATAAATGAATTGAAGCAGAAGGTGGGTAATGAAAACGGCAGCAAACAGGTTTTTTGGTTTTTTTTTTCCACCCTTGTGAAAAGCATCCTTTAGCTTTGGTGCTTTTTTGAGTAGGCAGGTATGGTTTCTAAGACATAATTAAACCCGGAAGTCAGAGTTAAGAGGCTAAAGGCTTGGCTAAAACTTCTTTAAAAGGAGGGGGGAAAATTATGCTTCCTTCTACTGTCCACAGAACTTTTGAAGGCATGGGTTTGAAATATTCTTCAAATAATATATGCAAAAGTGGACTACAGTTTTAGGATTTTTAAAAATTTGGTTTTGTTTCTTTATCTCTGCCCTTTGGAGGGAGCTTTCTGGATACTGGCTAATGGGTCCTGCTTTGATGTGTTTTTAAGCTTTGGTTACACTGATGAATTAAACATTTGAAAGGCTTTAATCAAGTTTTAAATGCGTGAAAAAAAAAACCCTCCCGTGTTTTTTGTTTTGTTTTGATTTTACAAAAGAAAGGGAGAAAGGAGCTCTTTGATTTAATTGTTCCCCTTTCTCCATTTTAGGTTAATGAATTTGCAGTTTTATCTGTCTGAAAATGACTGCTATACTTAAGTTGTCCTTAGGGTGTTTGTTTTTAAAGAGGATTTGCTTGGACACATGATACTGCGAGATGCTGCAGATGCTTGCTGGTACTATATGGGTTGTCATTCTCTGGATTTTCCTAGGGACCACTTCCTTTCTCATGAGAAATTCAGGCTGGGTGCCCTCGTGGCAGACAAATGTTTGTTGTGTAAGGAGCACGCATCTGACCCTGCTGGTACAGGTGGTGCATCCATTCCTAACCACTGACATCATCCAACAAGTGACCTTTAAATGGAAGGGTCTTTTATTTTAACTTCTCCAGGCAGATGCCTGATCTCTGACACAGGTACTGAGTGTTGAAGGAGGAAAGTAAACTCTAACCTCGTTCGTCCTGGGTCTGATCAGCAGCTGTTGATTGGTTATCTGCTGTGAGCCAGGCACTAGCTAGCTGCTGCTCAGGGACTTTCATTTTTCATTCCTCAAGTTGGAACTACAGTGTGGTTCTACTTCCTAGGTCAGCGTGGAAGTCTTCATTTGCTCTCACACGCTCACTGCTTAACATCTTTTCACATCATCAGCTCCTTTAGCCAATGTCTTGGCTGATAAAGTTGAAAAATTCTACTCTTGCTTGGTGTAATTAATATAAACTTAACTCCTGCAAAAATCGCTTAAACGTGCTCTCCAGTAGCAGCCAGAAGTGAATTCTTTTGATGTTTCTATTCATTATCCTTCTGAAAAGTAGGTGGTGCTTAGAAGGTCATAGGATAAGGGTTGCTAAGCAGCTAAACAGAAGGATGCTAAAATTAACTAAAGCATTTTTGAAAGGGAGTCCTTCCCTTTTTACATTATTTACTAGGTTTAATTAATTTCTGAGTCTTCCATGTTCGTTGACCTAAGAAAGGTGGGATGTGAAAGTGGATTTTGTTTTCATAATTTGATTTAAATCTCTCTCTCTTTTGTTAGTGTCTTTAATTGAGGTTCAGTGTTCTCTGACACAGCCTTCGGTGTCATATGGCAGCTTGTCTGGTCTAGTACTTTTGTGTTTAGGATACACCTTCCCAACCTTTTACATATCAATAATAGATTTTAGGGGGGTATTTTTTGGCTTTGGAAACTCTATCTAACCCATAAAGTGATGCCCTATCTTTATTCTTTACTAAACAGATCTGCATTGAAAAGCTAGAAATGCAGTATGGTTATCAATAGAAGCTATCCAGGACGGTGTCTCTTGATACAGGGACAATAGTTTTTTCCCCCTTCACTGACATCCCGTTCTCTTTAGATTAGGCAGCCCCTCCCCTGTGTTCCCCCCGCCCATCCCAGGCCCGGTGCAATACAGTGATACTTTTTTGAAAAACAGTTATGTTAGATGGAGAATCTCTTCCAAAGCACTGACAAAAGAATTGTGATTTTCAGTGAGGGAAAAGTTTGAGATGAGGAGGCCGAGGCTGGTGTCAGCGTGGTTGGATCCCAGGCCTAATGTGGTGGGATGAGTAGTTCCTCTGCCTAAAAAGTCATTTGTTACATCTCACCCATTGCACAGGCATTGTTGAGTCATACTTCTTATATTCAGATATAATTAAGAAAGTGGTAAGTTTTCTTTGTATTTCTTTTTTCCCTTGTTTACACCGAGAAAGTGATTTTTTAAAAAGTAAAAATAGCCTGGACCTTCTTCAAAAAGCAAAAGTCAGAGAGTGATTTCTATACCCCGTGCGGGGGGCTCCCCATAAATCAGAGGTAAAAGGTGAAACCATCTGAAACCCAGAGGGAGGCATGCGATGTGCTTTCTGAAATGCATCACTTACTTTTAATTTCCCCACTCCCACATGGAAGGCAGACTACAGCGAGGAAACCCGGCCGCTGGTGTTTTCTTTACTGCCGAGGTAGAGAATGAGGAAGGGGGAGGAGCTCTTCTTAGCAGTCTCCTGGGCAGTGCCATCAGCTAAGCTTGACTCAGTTTCTCTGGCTGTCCAGCTAGGGTTGAAAGGCACCTGCGGGTGGCTGTCGCAGGCTCTGCCATCGGCCTCCCAGAGCGGCCAGGAGGCTACAGGGAGCTGTCCTTCCGGTCCTCGGTGCGTCTTGCTGGTGATGGGTCGGCTGGGCACAGGTTAGCCTGTCTGCCCGTCGGTCGGGGTGGCTGCCTATGAATGGGACCTGCAGACAAAGCAGTGGGAGAGGGTGGAGACTGTTTGTTCTGTGTGATTCAAGCAAGTAATGCTTAGAGAATTTGAAAACCTCTGTGAAGCAGGGATGGGGGACTGACTGCTCCTGAAGGGATTCACCTGAGGCTTGCAGGACTCCTTGAGGGCGGGGTGGAACTCACAGGGTGGAGAAAGAATGAAATCCCCCACTGGCTTTGTCAGACAGCCAGGCTGGAGAGAAAAAAGTCTCAGTGGGGGTAATTAGATAAAGCTTTTAAATGCTCTTATTTGTTTTTCCCCTGAGCTTGCTTGGTATTTCACCCCTCCACACTTCATCCCTTCAGAGACCGTGTGGTGGAATGGTTATAAAATATTAGCTATGCCTGGTGGGTGCGTTGGTTTTAAAATTTCTCATTCGGCTGCACTTTGTTGGACCAAGTTAGTTTCACTCTGCTTTTGCAAAATCGGGCGTTTTGCAAAGTTTGATCTCATGCTCAGAGCAACAGTTTTACAGCCACATCCCTGGGTCCCCCCTTGGCTAGTAAGAAATCATTCCTGACCCAGCACTCCCAAGCCCAGCCCAGCTCTGGAGAACAACTGCTTTTCAGAGTCAGCTTGGCCTAGAGGACTTAGCATTAAAGATATACTGCCTGTTTATCTCGGGGTGAGTGTGTGGTTCACAAGCAAGACCAGGGCCTTTTGCAATTAATTCTGTGGATGCATTTGGAAGTGGAAGGGAATTGAAATTTTAGCCCTTGGCAGCATTGTTGTTGGGGAGTGTGATTATACACCTCTTTTCCCTGGCTTTTTTACCTCAGTGGGTCTGTTGGAAGGATAAAAATGTCCCAGAAAGTCAGAATCTGTATGTGGAGGACAACGGTATATTTTGAGTTCAGGAAGTTTTGCATCCACTCTGCATTTCTTTTCCAGAGTGTTACTCAGCCCCATTACCTGAGGCAGAATTTAACTACGAGATTCTGTTCAAATGTGAGAAATACAGCACTTTCTTCCTGTTTTGCATCCCCAGGAGCGAGGAGAACCAGCAGCTTCTTAACGAGGTTATTAGAGATGGGTTTCAAGGAAAAGGTGGGCAGGGAGATTGAGATTCACTCTCAGAAGGCGTGGTTATCAGCCAGGTGGCTTTGTCCCCTGCTTATCAGCCAGGTGGCTTTGCCCTGGGGGAACATTTAGAGTGTATGGAGACACATAATTTAGTGTCTTGCTGGGCCAGGGGGTGGGGCGCTATTGGCCTTTGGTGAGTAGAGACCAGAGATGCTCAGGACGGCCCCCGCCCCGCCCCAGGGTTGTTTATTCAGCCCCAGATAGGGTAGGATGAGAAGATCTACATTAAAAGTGCAGCAGTAGCTGGCTTTGGGGATTTAAGCCCCAACACTACAAAAAGAAAAGTACAGTCCCCTGTCACTGCACCATAGATTGGACTTGCTGGCTGCATCACACATGTTCCTTTTGGAGAGCTGAAATTCCATTAGGAAAAGCAAGCTCTTGTTACCTGGCTGTTGGGTACCTTGGTTGGCAAGTTCAGAGTCTCACAAAAAAATCTAGGGCTGGAGAAAATGTTGAGTGAGTCAGTGAGAATTCTGGGGCTCATCTGCTTCTAAGACAAACCGGGATCTGGTAGGAGGCACAGCTTTCAGAGTCCCTTCTTCCGGTTACTTGGGAAACTGCTTTGGTGCTGTCATCCACCAGGCTAGGTCAGTTTCAAGCTATGTGGAATACATCTTTTTTTTTTTCCTCTCGCTGAGACTCTCTCTCTCTCTCTCTCTCTCTCTCTCTCTCTCAAGTATTTGAACTAGCCTCTACTTGCTTGATATTTCTGCACTCATAGCCTCATTTATTTTGTTTTCTCAACTTTTTGGGAAAAAAAATTCTTACATAACCACCACCCTTTTTGCAGTACAGTTTTTCTGTGAGGGGTGTTGGGGGTCTTGTGTCCAGGAGTCTCATAACAGGGTGGCTGGACAGTTGGCCCATGGACAAGGAGGGAACAAGGTGAAGGAAAGGAGACGGTGATCATTGTTGTGTTCCTGGGACCCAGGGACCTCAACCCAGAAATATCAGGTACTGTGACAGGAGCGATCCTCAAGTGCCACTTACTTGCCACTTGTCCCCGGTGTCCCCTTCAAGCCTCAGATCTCACATGGGCAGGAGGCAAGGAGGAAGCCATGGAGTGGGAGCTACTGGGAGACAGAATTCCAGAAAAGGAGGGGCTCCCTGCAGTGGGCAGGCAGTTGCCCCCACAGTGGCCTGGCTCCTGCTTGCTTTATGGACATTGGTAACTGGGCGACGGCTCTCTTTCCCTCCAGCACCGTTTTCCCTGACAGTGCCCAGTGCCCCAGCTTGGCAGCTGCCTTTACAGCCCAAGTCCTGGCGCCCTGTGCATTCTGGTGCTTTTCTGCCTCTCCTCTCACCCATAAACCGGCAACTCCCCACTGTATCTCCGTTTACAGCTTCTCCCAAGTGGAGCCTAAGGTACACCTCACCCTGCAGGTGCTTGTAAAAATGAAAGTCCTCTGCCCGACTTCTGGAGAAGTCAGGCAGAAGTCAGTGCAGCGGCCCACCCAGCCTTGCAGGCCGGGAGCCTTCCCGAGGCCTCCAGCTCCTGTCTCAGCCTGGCCTGCGTCTGGTCTGCCTCATCGAGTCACCAGTGCCTCCTAAGTGAATTTCCTGCCCCGGGTTCCTCCCGGCTGCACTTCATCCTGCCCTCAGCTGCCAGAGGCCTCGTCCTCCAAAGCTAGAGCCCTGTGCCTTGTTTGCCTGCTTGAAAACATCTCTCGGCTCCCTGTTGTCTGCAGAAAGAAATCGAAGCTCTTCACTCTGCACACAGCCGCCTTCCTCTGCAGCTCCCGAACCGAATCTCTGTCTGAGCCCCCACCTCCCCATCTTCCCCACCACAGCCACCGAGTGATCTCTTTCTGCTTTCGTGCACATGGTTCCCTCTGCCGTGGACCGTCTGCCTCCTCAGCAAAGAACATTTCTTACTCTTCTTTCAAGCCTATGAAAGACTCGCTCTTCCAGCAAGCATTTGGTCCTCTTTCCAGAGTCATGTTTACACCCATCTGTCACATCTGTCTGCTGTCATTTATCTGCTAGCCTGTGTCCCCTCCCTCTGGGGTAAGGTTCCAGCCTCCACACCCAGCCCACCAACGGTGTGGTCGGTGCTCACACGCACTGTAACGTGTGTTGATATCTAATGCATAGACGGGGGGAGCTTTTGGAGAGGAGCCATATGTAATTTGGAAGCCTCAGCCTAAAGAGCACTGCAGATTCCGTGGAGGAAACAGGAACTTTTTTTTTTTTTTTTTTAAAGTACACCCGTTGTGCAAAGGTTTGGTGCTAGGTGCCTAGTTGCGGGAAAGTCTTTAAAATTTCAGAAGTCCTAAAATAAAAGTTGGCTCCATCAAATTTAAAGAGGAGGGAGGAAAAAAACCCACTTTGTTCACATCTACTTGCTCTAAAAACTGTCACACTGAGGCCTTTACTAATTATAACCACTCTTCGTGGCTCTTGGTCTGAAGTTTACATTAAGTAAGAGAGATGGGCACCCAGATCAAAGACCAGAATCATTTCAGAGCTTCAATGTGTGGGCCCATTTTCTCTGCCTAGTTAGAGTTGTGTTTCATTAGTGGTGTGAGTTAATGGGAGTGTTGGTCTGTGTATAATTTAACTTCTCTTTTTTCCGTTACTCCTTGGATTTAAAACAAAATGCCAAATCAGGAAACCTATGGGGAGTAAGCTTTCTTTTATTCTTATGTGTGTGTATGAGTGTGTACTGCATACATACTCGATAAAAGTTGATTATAGATTATACTTGTAAAGACAATCATTTTAGGGGAACTTCCTTTGTGCTGAGACTTATAAAACACTTCTCTGGATATATGAAATCATCTTGAACCTTGTCTTAGCTTTCCTTTTAAAGAGGTACATATATTTTCAAAACTAGGGAAGATACCAGGAAAATGGAATGGGTGTTTTAAAAAACAATGTGAGCCATATGAATGAGTTTTCTTTGCAAACAATAAGTTAAAAAAAAAAAAGCAATAGAGAAAGAAAGAAAGAAATTGCATGGTAGAAATGCATGGCATCCTTTATACAGGATGAAATTCTAGTTGATTAAAAATATATTACTATCCAATATGCATGAGGCCCTGGGTTCAATCCTCAGTCCCAAAAATCTAAAGCAGAAACATTACTGTCTTTCAATATTTTTTAAAAAGTGCTTACCTGCCGGTTACAGTTTAGGTTTAGATCTGGCAGATGGGTTCGGACATGACATTTCAACTTAGTTTTATTTTTGAGGGGGCTTATTTGTTTTTTTCTCTGATGCAGAAAACAGATTTTTTTTTTTAAAAATGATGTTTTCTCTTTTATTTTAGTGCTTCTAATTGTTATTTTAAAGGATAACTTCTTAAAACTGTTCAGTGAACATCTCAAACAGGTTTCACATGACTTGGTTAGTTAAATATCTATTTACTTGGTCAAACTGTTCTACTTAACACTTAAGGCTAAGTATAGTTTAGAGTGCTGTTGGGTGTCCCAGCACTTGGGAGGCTGAGGCAAGAGGGTTGAGAATTTGACACCAGTGTGAATTACATATCAAAATTCTGTCTTTAAAAAATAAGATGAAGTAAAATAAAGGAGGCCTAGCTGATATGTCTCTGAATTTTATTTTTTATTCACTCATTTTTTTATAGTGCTAGAATTTAAACTCAGATCCTGAGTTTAAAAGAGCTAAGTTCTCTGCTGGTTGGCAGTACCCCCAGCTCCATTGATTTATATTTAAGTCATGAAAATAATGTCTCTGAGAATCCTTTATTGTTCAAGAGCTTAGCTAGCTTGACAATTCACTTTTAAAAATATATCAGGTGCAATTCAGTATTAGATTCTCCTCTTGGAAAATAGGCATTTTTCCCACCAGCAAATTTGCCAATCCCAGGGTGATGTTTTTTAACATTTACAGATTTATATTTATTTAATAAATATTTGAATATGTGTCATTTGTGCAAAGCACTACAAGTTAATATAACACAAACTTAGGAAATGAAGTTTGACCTCCATGTGTGGTAGTAGTGGAGGATGCTGGGAGGAAGACATCTTGGTGGAGGATGCTGGGAAGCAGTCTGAGAAAACACAGCAGAGGATTCTGGGTAGCAGCTCAAGGAAAAGCATCACAGCAGGGAATTCTGGGTAGTAGCTCAAGGAAGGCAGGCTCAAGGAAGTGACATTTAGCTTGTGCCTTACGGATGCTAAGGGGAAGCAAAGAGTGCTTCAGAGAGCAGCTTGTACAAAGGCCTTGACTTTGGAAGATGGGATATATCCAGGGCAGGGAGAGAAGCACAATGTGTCTGGAGGAAGAGAAAACAAAAATGCAAATACATAAATGACTGATCGATAGAGACAAGAATATGGTGCTTGGAGTTCCTAAAGAACTTGGTGGCATGTAGCTGTAAACCCCAGCTGCTCAGGAGGAAAAGGTAAGAGAGTCACAAGTTCAAGGCCAGCATAGGCAATTTTAGTAAGACTCAGTCTCAAAGTTTCAAAAGGGCTGGAGGTGTAGCTTGGTGGTAGAGGACCCCTTCTTAGCATGTGCAAGTCCCCGGGGTTGGATCCCTAGCACTGGGCTGGAGGAGGCCCTAAGAAACAATAGCAAGTACTAGGCCAAGCAGCAGTGGGAGATTTGCATTTTTAAAGATTATCCCAGCACAGTGGGCAGTAGACCAGGCTAGAAGGAAGCAAGAATGCTGGAGATATTAGTTCTCTCTCTGCCGTTTGCAAGGTCAGTTAGAGGGCGAGATTTTAAGACCCCAGGGGGCTGCAGTATGATGGTAATAGAAATAGGAGTGGACATGAGTTTGATAAAGATTTGAGAAGTGGGCAGATCTTGGGGATTGGGTGGAGCAGGGTAGGGAAGGAAAAGAGAGCTTCCAGGTCTTTGGCTTCTGGAATTCTCTGAGATTGGAATATGGGATTAAGGAAAAGTCGATGGAGCACATTCCCTAAAGAGGTTTATGTTTGTTTTAGTTTTGTTTTAGTTTTGTGAGACAAAGACTTGCTATGTGCCTCAGGCTAGCCTTTGAACTCACTATATAACCCAGCTTGACTTCCAACTCGTAGGGATCCTCCTGCCTCAGCCTCTGAGGCACTGGCATCACTGGGATGCACCACCATGCCCATCTTAAAAGTATTTTTTCTAGTGTATGTTTTGTTTGGTTAAAAAGTTACCTGGCATGGATGGAACCTGGGAAGCACTTAGATAATAGTGAAAAACAAGTCCTTTTCTTACCTGAAAGTAGATGAGTGGCTTCCTTTTCCCCCTGACTCCTTTTCTTTTATTTTCCTGATGCTAAAGGGAGTAGGAAGGATTTCTTTTAGCTTTTGAATGGCTTTCACATGAGATGTGCACCTGAATCTTAAGCACATTTGAGTTTTGTTTATGTTCATAGTACTCTGTGTGTCTGCCCTGTGGCAGGAGACTCACCGGAAGAGGCTTTGGGTAAGAACCAAGCTAATGCTCTTTGCATTGCTGTGGCCTTTTACCTAGCGTAGAATTCTGTTCATGACCTGGTTTTCCATCTTTGTTCTTAATTGGAATGGCATAAAGGAACCTACCTGATATCATTAATGTCTTAGAGTTGCATCAGTAGTTTGCTTGAGCAGTAATCTGTATGAAAGCAAAGTTCACTCAGTCAACAGAACTCACAGATCTCCTGTGAGCTGGGTTCTCCCCTGGATCTGTGGATGCCAAGGGCAAAGACCTGACCCCTTTCGCAAGGAGTAGAACTTGTCTCCGCAGAGTGATTGTCCGGTATTGCAACACCTCTGCCGACAAGCCTGCTTCCTAACCTCAGTGGTCCTGGAGTTTCTGCGGCATGAACTTGGTGTTTTATAGCAGACCCAGTCTTTTTGGAACCAGGGAGCACTGTTTTCCACTGAGGCTGAGTGCAGGCACGCTGTCTTGTGCTTTTTTGCAACTAAGTACACAGCGTGCAATCTGACCCCCTCATGGCCTTCTCCCAGTTCGGATTCCTGCTGGAGTGGAAGGGGCGGCCTGGTCTGCACAGCCATCCCCTTGTGTCTGTGTTGGGGCCCCCTCTGTTAAGATGTCTTATAAGAAAGTCTTTCCAGGGCTCCTGAATTTGGGTAATGCTTTTCTCTGGATGTCATCCAAATGATGCATCAAATCCTCAGGTAAGCCCTAGCAAGCCTCAGAGTTGCTTCTCTTTCATGATCTCAGTCCTGCAAATGTCACCCAACATCTCTTTAGGCTCTGGGTAGCACTGGTCCTTTACTCACATTAGGGAGAGCAGGATTTCCCTTCCCATCCCTTTCTTGAAAGCATGGATGCGTCCCCGTGAACCCCACTAGAGCTGAGACCACCCTTTTGCCCCAGCCCAGTATTTGGTAAAATATACTGAACTGGATGGGTGGGGGCAGGTGCACAGATCTTGATCCTCCCTACTTTGAAAATTGAAATGGCTTGGTGAAGAGTTGCTGGGAAGAAAACTTAAAACTGGGCTTTACTTTTTTAGTTTTAGAATTTAAATATTGAAAATTTAAATGCTAAAATACTATCCAGTCCACCCAGAAACCTTCCCCTCATGGTGACCCAAATGTGTGGATTTGGCCATCTAATAAGAAGTGTGTGACAGATGTAGCTTCCCAGTTAATTGCCTTGTAATGAGTCTCCAAAATTGGTGTCCACAGTCCATTCGGGACCAAGTCCCAGTGACAGACGTGTGTGCACTTCCTTTTGGACAGCTCCTCTGTGACTGCTGATCTCAGAGAGGACTAGACCGCTCTGGCGGTCCACACCACGTCGGTGATTTGGTTTCCCTTGAACTTGCACCACTGCGGTTGGTGTATTCTGTCACCTGGATTGGGACACTGATACATCATCTATGTGGCTGGCTTCTGGATATGTCAGGCCATCCGCTGTGTTAAGATTGAGTAAAAGACTGATCTATTTTATATAAAGCCCCTGAGGTGATCAATGAAATGGGTTCATAGAGAAATAAATGCTTTGGAAGTTCAGGGAGCTTTTTTCAGAGGAGTTCTAAATGCCATCACGAGGCCACTAGTCTTCAGGGTGTCCATGATACATCCCTTGTTGGTGACCCAAAAGCCGGTTTACCCTGCTAGGAATGTGGTATTGGGGTACATGCTGTACAGATGACTTTTCTGCAGGAAAGTGAGGTTCTGCCTTAGGATACTATGTGCATTTGGTTGGGTTTTCTTGCTGGTTTTTGTTGTCATTTCTCGGATGTTGGGGATTGAACTTGGGATTGAACTTGGCCTCGAACATAGAGGTGGAGGTTAGGCAAGACCTCTACCTCCGCCCTGGCCCTTGTTTCTTTTCTAAGCAGCTCTGGGTGGGTAATGGTGGCAGGGATGTCCTGCAGGTTGTTCTGTGCCTGTCACTCCATACTGCACTGGCAAATAGGTGGTATGTGTTGTATGTGGATTTTTCACTGTACCCAAGCAAAAAAGGAGGGAACCACGTGCACGTCGGCAGGTGGTGTGCTTAGCACTGTTATTATAGTCAGAGGCTGGGCGCATTGCATTGTTATTTCCACAGTGCCTGCCATGTTGGAAGTGCTCAGTGAGCATCTCTTCTCTGGCAATCTGATGGTAGTCAGGGTGGCGCTCATTTCTCTGAGAATGCGCCGAGATCTGGAGTAGAACAGAAGCTACTGTGGTGCGGGTATCCAGCTACAAGTAGATCTCGGTCTAGAGCATACTGAAATAAGTTCAACAAACAGCATGAGAGTTACAGCCCACCTTTGGTGAAAGACATCACAGGCACAGCCTGCTCTGTTTGCTTTGCCTCTGATAAACCTGAAGCAGAACCGTCCAGTTTACCTTCTGCCTTTGGTAGACGTGCTCTGTGTGACTGCACTCTGCCAACTCAAACCAACAGTCAAAAGTTGTTAGACCTTCTTTTTCACTTGTTTGGACTGCTAAGTTTCCCATAGAAGACCTCTCAGCATGATAGTGTTGTTGAGTGGGGACTGTCACCATGGTCCTAAGTTCTTTCCTTGTGACTCCTTGACTCAGTGATGTAGGTGCAGTTATCCCCATGACTCAGATGAGGAATTCTGGATCAGAGAGGCAGCTGGCTAAGTAAGATTTAGGCAGTGAAGTCTGACTCCCGAGCCCGTGCCACAGTCTACATCATGACATGTAGTGGACATGTCTCTCCAGGAGAGAATCCTTGAAAACATTTTTCATATAGAACCCTCCCAGAGGCGCGCTTCATGGGGGAAGATGGGTATGAACAAGCATTCTGCAGTTTCTGGATGCAGCAAATCAGAGCTCGCCCATGGAGCAGCTCATCACGGTACTGGGGACCATCGTGGTGTGGGAGGGAGCTCAGTGTTTCATGGGGCAAGTGAGCAGCTTGCAGAGGTGGTGTTAGGACGTAAACCAGCTGGCCAGGACCTGGGTGTTCTTAGGAGAGGAGGATAGGGAGGGCACCACAGCTGAGTGCCAGGGGCCCACACTGCTGGAGCAGCCCTGAGCGCATCCTGCTAAGAAAGACTTGCTTTTCTCAGTGGCAAGAGATGCCCTAAAAAAGAAGAGTGTGGCATAGGTAGTAGGGGCCTCTCCTCTCTCTGTACCCTTCATGTGGGTATCCCCTCCCTTTAACATGGAGAGTGCCAGAGCCCTGTTGCAAAGGAAAACTCCTAGGTTGGCCATTTCTGGCTGGAAACCACATGTGTATGTCTGGGAAATTTGTTTTTGCTTTGGATTTCTGCAAGGCCCAGTGCCTTGGAAAACAGGTCTATGGTTGCTGGATGTGATTTGTTATTTTCTTCCTATCCTGCTAAGTTGGTATAATTATCTTCCAGGGTGACCCTCAGAGACCAAGTGCTCTATGGTGTTAGAGATGTAGAGGAGGCAACAGCATGGCTCTAATTACTAGCCTTAGCTTTAAGATTTGTTCAGATCCAAGTGAGATAACCTCCAGGAAGTGTTACTTGTTGTGTTGCTTTTTCTTTTCTCCTTAATGATACTGGGGAGTGCACCGGGGCCTGATGGCCTACCAGGCACCCTGAGCAATCATGGACATGGCAGCTCTCGAATGGAGATACCTACTTGAGGTCTGTTTCCTGTTTTTGTTGGGTCGGTGAAGGAGGATGGTTTTGAAACTAGTAACAGATACAGAATGTGAGCCTGGCGCAGTAGTTTCAGCCCGAGAGCAGCGAGCAGCGGTCTGCAATAGGAGGCATCCTATGTATGTTCTTTTCTTCTCAGATGTGCAATATCACCATCAGCAAGCCAGCGCCGGTCACCCTGCCTTAACACCTGCACCGGTTACGGGTTTGGTGTAAACTCAGTCCCTGCCCTAAAACTCCCCCACTGTCTCCCAGCAGCAGGCGCACAGGAGCTGCAAGTGGAAAGTGGCAGGGGAAAGAGGAAGTGATGGCAGGGTTGCAAAGGGTTTGCCACGTGGAGGGGGGCGGGTAAAACATACAGTGCTTCTAGGCAGGAGGAGTAGTGCACGTACAGGCCCCGGAGTGTGCAAAGCTGAAGCTTCTTTGGGGACAGGCTAGGACAAGAAGTAGAGTGTGGCCAAAGGGTGAGGTTGGGGGGGGGGCGTGTTGTGGAGTTGGTGGGCAGAGGTATTGGTCTGCAGAAGCAGACCAGGCCCTGGCTGTGTAGGCTGCTGTGGGCCATCAGGTGCTTTGAAGCAGGGCTGTGATGTGAGCAGCCTTGTGTTTCGGAGGGAACACTGTAACCCTTTAAGAAAATCAGGCAGGAGAGGCAGCATCATGTTTAACAAAGTACATAGCACGAACTGAGTCTGGTACCCTTTTTAATGAAATTATCTTTGTCTCCACCTTCTTCAAAGGATTTCCCAGCTTGGTCTTAAGAGCTGCTTTCTGAAGCGTTGCACAGTGATAGCTGACGGGGCTGGGGGCGCTCAGCGGTGTAGAATGCTTGGCCTGCATGTGTCAGGCCCCTGGGGTTCCATCCTCAGGGCTACCTCCCCCCTACCCCTCAACAAAAAAGAAAACAAGCAAAGAAGGAAGGTGGGAACATTTACTTACAGCAAGTAGAATTCAATTAGATAATATTTAAACTTCCTTAATTATACTTTACTAATTGACACTTATTTAAGCTCATCACAGAGCAGACCTCTTTGTAAGAGAAAGACTCATTACCTTTCCTTCAAGTATATTGGCAGGTGGGCACCAGCTAGGACTGGGAAGCCAGCAGACGGCTGGATAATTTGCAATCATGATGATGGAGGAGGGGCGGTGGCTTCAGGGGCCTCTGTGGAAACAGAATCTGTTCCTAAGATCCACTGCAATACGGCTGTTGCCAGCCGCCTACTCACCTGTGTAGCCTGTGTCCCTGCCCGGTGACGGTGACGGCGACAGAGCTGGGGCTTATGTGCTCTGTGGGTCTTCCTCACTGCAGATGTAGTCAGGAGAAGGAAGCCCTGTGTGGAAGCCCAAGGCTTGCAAAATTGGGGTGGATGTGACTGAAGTCAGACAGCAGGCCCCAAAGACAATTAGCAGCTTAGTAATTACTGCGGAGACACAATATTCCCTTGTACTTTCAGGTGTTCAGAGTCCTCTGTCCTCTGGGGAGGAAATTAATTTTTTTATAGGTCTGACTTTATGCTTTTCAAAGCCTGGACTCGGGGACTCAGGGAACCAGCTGGGAGGAATGGGAAACGTGAAGAGTCCCCCATCGATCTGGTGGTTTGGACCGAACCCAGAGCTTCCGATTAATCGTTTTCATCACCTAGAACTGGGAGTGATATAGTTGATGATTTTATCACTCGGTGGCAAAACCTTTTGTTTTGTTTTTGTGACATGTTCTATCATTTGAGCTAAAATTGTGCAGGAGGAAACAAGATCCTCGTAAGCCAAAGTGGGCCTTTGGGGGACCAGAAAGAGAACCTTGGGGGAGACTGCTCTGTGGGTTCCTTTGGTGTGTGTCACTGTCCTGGGGAGAGGAAGAAAGCACCAATTAGGCCCAAGTGTAATGGTCACACCCACCTGATGAGGTGTGGCTGGGCCGTTTTCCATCTCTTTTTTTAAAGATAGGCCACTGGGGCTTGAAAGTGTTTTATATTTCCAAGAGATCATGCAGCTAGCGGCAGTCTCCCAACCAGGAAGTTTCATGGCCCTTCTCTATAGTCTGGGTCTTTTGTCTTTTTCCGTTTTTTTTTTTTTTTTTTTTGGTGGTGGTGGTTTGGGGATGGAACCACAGTCAAGTTCTGTACTCCTGAGCTGTGCCACCAAACCAAGAATTGTTCTTTTATGGTATGGATAGTGTCCCTCCACCTTGGTACCCAGAAAGTTCCTACCACTTGGTTCAGTCATCTCAATCCATCTGCTTAGATCTGAGCACCCTTTGATTGCCTCCACCTTCAGGTGAAATACCCCTGCATTGAGCAACTGCCGTGTTCAGGACATTTGGTTCAGGCATGGTGGAGCATGGTGGTTCTTGCCTTCGGGGAGTTTACGTTATGAAAGGAATTCAAAGTGCGCGCAGACCCTGAGCCAAGTTCCCATGGGAAGGCCGGCACTCACAGGAGTGGATGTGCACTTCCAGGAAAGGCACACATGGCATGAGGTCCCGGGGGGGATGTTAGGTCAGTTGGGAGCCCAGGGTGTAATTTGGCGTTGAAGATGATGTACTTGAAGATGATAGGGTTGGGAGGTTGACATGGGACAGGGTGGAGTAAATCACTGGGGGTGTTAGGTGTTGAGCAGACAGCTGACAGGTTTGCCTACAGTGGTCTTGGTGACATCCTGAGAAGCAGTGACATGACCTGGGCCCTAGGGCCTTGGTGGCCATGAGGCCCCCTTTGCTTCAAGCCCAAGGTGGGACACACATCCCACGGGCAGCTGGTGCAAGGTGGACGGAGAGGCCTTGTGCAGGACTCAGAGTTGCCCGAAGCTATTCGCTGATGTACACACACAGGGAGGCTTTATTTCTTTACAGCCGTGGACTTGTTGAAAAGCTGAATCACATCCTCTGGCTCAATGTTTGACTTTGTGGCTACCAGTTCCAGGCGAGCCACCTTTGAGAGAGGTGACGTCCTATTATAGGAAAGGCGTGGCTAGGCATCCAGACACCAAGGTTCCAGGTTGGCCCTGACCCCAAGGGTTTCGCTTCATATGCCTTTGGTCTGGAAGGCTCTTTGGGTGCTTGGGTGGATGGGCTTGTGTGGAAAACCCCCTGGCCCATCTGCACATCTGGGCCCTGGGACATGGTATTGAGTGGTGTGCTGGCCACTCAGGTACCAGCTCAGAGCTCTGTGGACCTGCCATGGACTCAGCATCATGGGCATGGCACTTGAGCCCATCTGCTGCCTCCACCTCCCCAAGGAAAGAATGGTCTGTTCCCTCACCTGCTCCATCTCCAGCCGGATCGAGTCTAGATGTATGTGGCTTTTCCTGAAATTCTCCCAAGTCATTCTGATCCTCCCCAGCCAATGTGCCTTTCTCTAAAGACCTGCAAAGTAGTAGCAAATCCCTTCCCATGGCTCTTCTTGCTCTTTGCAGCCCTCTGGTAAAGCTGGAAGTGCCTGAAAGAGAAGCAGCCAGAGCCTGGGCCTACATAATCCACACACTCGGCACGTCACCCTGGGTGACTCAGATTCAGTTGCATTTGTCATTTCACAACCACCTGCATCTGGGGGCAGCGCCTGGTGTTTCAGAGCACAGTGTTCTGCCTGGGCATGGCTTCTCCCAGCTCTTCTCTCTCAGGCTGTGGCCATTCCTGTCCCCCTCCCCATTCATGATGCTTAATAGTCCTTTTTAGGAAGCAAAAACATAGCATCATGTGTCAGTCACCTCCGAGGCTTTCTATGTATTTTTCCAGTGGACCTTACAACAGGCTTGTCAGCTGGTATAATTGTGGTCATTTGGAAATGTGGCAGACGGGGTTTGGGGTGATTGTCCTAACCATCCCATGTTGTGCCCTGATTATCTAGGAGACAGCGCAGTTCTCTTTTGCAGTTGATCTCATTTAACCTTTTCATCCACATTACAAGGTGTTTATGTCCATTTTACGCATGAGAAAGCTGGGGCCAAGAGTTATATAACTTGTCCAAGGTCACTGCAGCTCATGAAGATTTAGATTCAAACCCAGACCAATGGACTGCAACACAAGTGCTCTTAAGGTTTTTTTTTTTTTTTTTTTTTTTTCCTCTCTCTCTCTCTCATCTGCATTTGTGTAAGGAAAACTTTTTCTCCTTCAGAGCTGGCAAAGCTGATGGCTTCTGTTGGATTTGACTTCTAGTGCTTTTCCCATTGTTAAGTGGGGAAGAATGGGAGCTAATATTTGTTCACCACACACTACGTATGAGGCACAGGTACTGCCTTCAAAAATATCTAGAAAAATCTTCATACCACAGATGTTGTGTTTATTAATACATGTTTGCAGTACATAATGCCACATGCAATAGGGGCAGTTTGTCCTTGTGCATGACACATCTTAGTTCATTGTTTTGTGCTCTTCCCCTCCAACCCTTCTTCTCCTTCCCATGTGCAGAAGCTGTATTTCTGGGGTATTTTAGAAAGCACTTTATATTCACTGCCACATCCCTGGCACCTGGTGCTCCGTCAGTATTGGATAAAGGAAGGGATTTTACCTGCTTGGCCGGTGGAGCCGTTGAGACAGTACAGTCAGGTGGCTTCATGGGTGGTGAAAACGACTTTGCTTTTCATACCACAGAGCTTAAAAAAAAAAAAAAAAACAGATCTGTTTTACCCATGCAAAATGGGAGTAATCAGATCTATGTCGTGGGATTATATAAAACACTATAAATACTCACCCGGTGCCTGCTACAGGGTAAACATCCAATAAGCAGCGTTGTCCAGTACTGTATTTGTCTTGCATGGAGTCTTCTTTTGGTCTGTACTTTTATTTTGGGTAGAATCATCCCACAAGTTAGTAGCCTGGAAATTTGCTAGCTACTACTGAAGCCTTTAAAAGGGTCCATGTTCCTGTCTTTGCTTTACTATCTATCAAGGACTCAGACAGTAAAAATTGATAAAATCAGTTGAGCTCTACTCTGTGCAAGTGGTGATGCCTAGCAAGGTTTGATTAAACAGTATTTGCATCTTTGTTTACAATGAAGGAGTATCGTGCTGGAAAGGGCCTCCGGGACTATGGTTCCTTTATCCCTCTTACATCCCTTTAATTTACAGGTGAGGAACATGAGGCTGGCAGAGACACAAGGGGAGTGCTGGGTGTGGATTTTGGTTTTTGAGTGTTGGCTGCTTTCAGATGTCAGCACGCCCTGCCAATTCCGGGAGCCCGGAGTTTTGTCCTCTGTGGGCTTGTCTGAACACTGGCGTGGTGGAGCCACGGCTGCTTCTGCTATGATGTTAGTGAGCAGATTATATCAATAATCCACCACAAGCTGGTAAATCAAGATCACACTCCTGTTCAAACATCCTCATAAAAGGATTCTATTCGTTGCAGATAATTGTAAAGTGTGCCATTCCTGAGGAAATAGTCCTCAGGATTAACAATTATTTTTCCCATTAGCTCTCTGAGCTATTCTTATTTTCCTGCACATATGACTTACAGTCAGCGAGGGAAAATCTAAGTGTACTGAAAGGGAAAAAAAAGAAAAATGGAAAAGAAGTCATTATTTACTCCCTGAAGTCTGAGATGACCATCAAGATAGTTTCCTATATATCCCCTTTTAGGTGGTTTTCTGTTGGATACATGCATGTACTATAAAAATGAGATTTGTTTGTGGACAATAAACACTTTAAGTGCCTTTAAATTGCACTGTATCTTTCTAAAATGTAATACGATATGATGAGTCTTCTGGGGTGTATTAAAATATTCTCTGACATGAAAATCACACTATTTTGGGGAGCAACTTTCTTGGCGGTAGAAGCTTGCTAAATAGATGAATAAGTGAATCCCTTGACATAACTCCCTGAAGGCTCCTACCCTAGAGAAAGACAAGTCCTGCATATGAATAACTCTAAGATCTAATGTCAGGAAAATAATGATCCGTTCTGAACTGCAGGTGGAGTTCATTAACTCCAGTCAGACCATTGTGTAACAAATTAAGAAGAGGCTTTCTGTTCTCACCTGCTTGGCCACAGACAGCAATCCAGCCCTGGACACCAGCTCCATCTTCTTATTTCAAAGGCGAGAACTAGATTGAATCCGACCAATGAGATGCATTTTGGCATACCTCTAAAATGCTCCCTTGGCCTTTTTAATTATCTGTGGTGCTCTGTTAGGGGACTAGATTTATCAGCTAGATGCCTAAATCCTAAACCCAAGCCCAATCCTGATTATGATCAGTGAAATATTTTGTGCCTTGTTTTTTCCATCTCTCCAATGGGCAGAATGTGTTTCTTGTAACATAGTCTCAGGAAGTGATGTAATGATGCGCCTAGGCTTAATCAGCACAAGCCAACAGAAAAACCTTTGTGAGGATGTAAGCTATTGTCCTTTCACCTAAAGGAAAAGTACCATAAATCTAGGGGAAGTCTCAGGCATCCTGAAAGCTGCTTTAAGGCAGGGCTGCAGCTGAAAGACCATCCAGTGGCGTGAGCCCTTCCTCCAGAGACCTCCTTCTCCTGTAGTTGTATTTTCCTCTTTTTAAAATGAGCGGTGATAGCATATGTTGGGTTTTCACCAGTGACACCTCTTCTGTCACTCTTCTTGGTTTCTGACAGCAGTTGTTGGTGCATTAGTTCCCAAGATGGGGGTAGAAGAGGCAGGTAGCTGTCTCAGATCAGGTGTCCCCATGTTATCTGAAGGGAGGTTAATCCCATGGTCAGACTTGCTGGTGCATGTCTCTAAATCCCAGCATTCTGGAAGCCTGAGGCAGGAGGATTGCAAGTTCCACCATAGCCTGGGCAATTTAGAGAAACTTTGCACTCAGAGGCTGACGCGGGAGGATTGCTGTGAGTTGGAGGCCAGCCTGGGCTGCATAACGAGACCTTGTTTCAGGTCCACCTTTTCCTAGGAGCAAGTATTTGGCTTTCATTTTAGGCAGTGTCTATGTGTTTTCCAAAAACATTTAAATGTGCTCTTCGTGTCAAGCTCCTATAGGCTTTTCAGGTTGCTATAGGGAACCCACAACAGTGTCTTAGGGAAGGAAGGCAGACAGTAAGTACCTGTGAGCTGAGAGGGAAGCCAGGATCACTAGATCATTTTGTTTGGCTGGTCTACAAATACCAAAGCTGGATTTCCACCACACATCAAGGAGGGTGGCTTCCGTGAGATGGACCTGGTGAAAGAAGCAGCAGGTGACTAGAGAGGGTCAGCCAGCCTCCCTTAAAATGCTGCGGCCACCTAGGTAGGCAGTGAGACCAGCACCACCTCCGCCTGTGCTCAGCCACGTGGCCCAGATCACAGGCCGTGTTTACTTTTGAGGGACACAGACCTCGATGCTTTCCCAGGGCATAAACCTTCCAAACATGATTTTAGGGATTCCAAAGTAATGTTTCTGTTCAGATCTGGCAGAACTTTGAGTTGAAATGGGTCCCTATCTGTGCCTTCTCGTTTGTCTTTTATTGATATCTGTAATTACAGTTTTTTTTAAAGATAGAAATGAGCTATAAGGAACATCTGAAGGATTTTCGTTTCTTATGAAGCATAGTTTAATTGTCTGGGTTTTTTCCCTCATTGACAAACTTGCTTCAGGTCCCAGCAAGTAGGTAATATGGAGAAAATGTGAGAGACGCCATGGGGGAGCGGGTCTGAATTTATAATAAGCTTAGGAATAATATAGGTGAAGTTTGCCCACCTTCTTGAACAGAAGAAAGGGTGATTTTTAGGTGTAATAGTACACCGAGTAATGAATAAGAGTCTCGAAAGACATGTAAATCTATAAACAGAGCATAAACATCTTTATTCAAAATGGGTTGAGTTCTGAAGCCTGATACTTTCAAGAGAACAGTATTAACAAGTGGCTCTTAAAAGCCTGTCGTTAATCAACGTGTCGCCCTCAGGACTTTATTAAAAAGGTATGCAGTGGGTCACATCCTCCTTCCATGAGGGCCAGTGAAACAGAAACTTGCCCAAAATCTGGAGGATAAAGCCACCTCGGCACCTGGCCTCCGCCTTTCACTTCCTCTCCCAACTCTGCCCCTCTGAGATGTTCTTCCAGAAGTCAGAGGAAGCTGCTGAGCTTGGGGTCACCACCCTGGAATCAAGCGATGGGAGTAGCCCAGCACTGGGAGTTCCTTCCCCAAAGCCCCGAGCTGACTTGTCACTTTTTGCTGTTGTCAGGAGCTGGGCAGTACTGTCCCAACTTTCCCAGAAGGCCTGGCGAGAGCAGGCCAGAGCAGGAAGGGGCAGAAAAGTGCAATGCCCTCTTTGATGCTGCTCCCTGCCCCTGGGTGTGGAGAGCCGGGGATGGGAAGTTGGAAACCCCGAGGAGAGTGTCGAGGGCACAGGCCGGGCTGTGTGCTGTTCACATGCTGTGGTTGACTGTCGGCATTCAGGGAATGCATTGGATAAATTTATAGTGTGCTATCACAAGTATGATGATATGCATGTGTATTTTGGGGTGCCAGATATATGAGCAAATAAAAAAGTTCAGGAGCCAAATGCTCAGGTAGTGGCTGTTTTCTGATGAATTGAAACCAGCCCTGCTGGCCCAGCTATTGGAGTATTTCAGCTATTTGCTGAAAGTACCCAAGGCAGTGATTTTGTTTGGTGCACCGTTGAGGTGCAGCCCTGGAAGGAGGAGAGGGAGGCTGTGGGTGAGCTTCTCGCTGGTGCTGGTGCTGGAAGGAGTGGGAGTCCCTTCACCCTGGCTGGCTGGCTTCTCCTCTTTCGCCCAGGAGCTGCAGCCCAGCCTGCAGAGTGGCTGCCTGATGCTAGGCCCAGGGCTGGATTTCAGAGGCTTCTCCGTAGTTTCAGTGTCATCAGTCATTGCTTCCCAGAGTTCCTGTTGCTTTTCCAGGGTCCCCAGTTGAACCGTTTAGCTCCATTTCAGTAGCCCAGCCCACTCCCTTATGCCCAGTCAGGAAGATGTATAATGTGAACTGATTTACTGTCAATGCAAAAGAAAAACATTAGTTAATTAGACTTTTACACCTTGGTCAGATGGTATTAGACACCCTTTGTGCACTTTAACTCAAGGATGTTAAAGACCTAAGTCTTTGAAGAAAAAAAAACAAAAAAGGAAGAAAAGGGACAGGCACTTTTCCAGCTTAAGCTGCATGTTGGCCCATGTTAATTCCGCATTTGTCCCTTAGTCTGGACGTGACAGAAAGTGCTAGTTACTGTGGTATTTAACTGACATCAAACTCCCATCCAAATAATTCAGTTGGGCCCAGCCTTCTCTCTTAATTGGTGGGAAGGAAAACTTAGGCACACACCCAGAAAAAGGAGGAAACTGTTACTTTGTTGGACATTTAAAAACTTTATTCCTTAGGGTATGAAGAGCACGTGTTTTTTTTAGATGAGCTGCCCCTTTGAGCTTTTTAAAAACAGCAACAACCAGAATCTAGAATCTTCTAAAACTTGAGCCCTTCAAACGATTGGCTTTTGTGAGTCTTCAGTAAGTGACAGTTTAGTAATTGTTGCTATCCTTTCGAAGTTATGCATCTGCTCTGGAAACTGACAGCTTTCTAGGCTACAGGCAGATTAAAAAAAAAATCTGGAAACTCATACACAAGTTAAAGTCCTAAGCAATTTAAAAACCAATGTATAGTGGCATAGTAAAAGAAGAATGGCAGGGTGATTTGGTAGGAATAATTAGAGAAAACATGCCTGTTGGTTTTTGTTTTGTTTTATTTTGTTGTTTTTTAAAGCAACTTCTTAGTTGTTGAAGTTAATCCTCAGTGACAGGAGTACTGTTTACCTTAATCATGAGGTATCTAAAACAATTCCAAAAATAATCGAAAGGGTTTTTGTTGTTGTTTCCAATCAGTTGAAGATTGGAATATCCTTATCCTACTGTCAACCTCACTCACTTTGTGCATAATTTCTAGCCAGAGTTGGCGAGTGCTTCATTTTTAGCACTGAACTGCTTTTTGGTGCACTGAATGAATTTAATACGTTAACACTCCTGTACGGCCCAGAATTGCTTGGCTGCCCCTTGCCCTGCCTGCCTGGTACTGGCTGAAAAGGTACCATTGTTTGCTCTGCAAACACTGGGTGATGTTTGTTTCCAAGGTGACTGATTCTATTGCTGCTCTTTAAGCAAGGGGGGATGGGGAGAGAGAAAGTTGCCTTTGAACACCTGAGAGCATCCCATTCTGGATAGCCTGTGTGTGTGTGTGTGTGTGTGTGTGTGTGTGTGTGTGGAAGCTGCAATTTTATTTTAACTGACCTTATTAGTGCAAAAGGAATAGTGTGGCAAGGGAAGAAAAAGAGCCCAGTTCTGATGCTTAATTCAATATACAAAGTATTAGATTTAAAAACTGGATCAGACTGAATTAGCTGTTTACATTTGGAAAACTAAAGAGTTAAGGGGAGGAAAAATAGTTTAGATAACTGAAATTTTTTTTCATGAAATAGTTCCTCAGCTATAACATGTGTGTGGCTGTTGAAAAATGAGAGTATCGTTAAAATTAGTTATGATAAGGTAGGTGGGCCTTTTAAGTTCTGTACAATTTTTTTTTTTTTTAGAAAAATCTGGCGCCTTTGAGGTTTCTTTGTGTCAAAAGAGTCGAAAGAGAAAATAGATGAAATGCATCTTTTCATGGACAATATGAATTCTCTTATTAAACTGGAAATTTACATTTCACAAGAGTGAGAGATTTTAGATTTCAGAATAGAAAAAATGATTACTTCTTGGGTCCCCCCCCCCACTTTTTAGTACCACGGATGCTGTTAACAGAACTTTGCCTTTTCACTCCTATCGGGTTTAGTACAGTTCACGCACAGGTTTCAGTAAACATTAACCACTTTTATCAGGGCTTGCAGTGTGCTGAATGGCTAGCAAAGAGTGTTCTGTAAGAGGCAGATGAAATTGAGAGAGTCCAAGGTCACATGGATATTGAATTTTTTTTTAATTATGGAGAATTTAGGAGAAAGAAATCAAGTTTCACACTGGAACTGTCCTCTACGCGGGCTCACTGAAAGACTACTTGGCCTAGCATTTTTACACACATTTGTTCAGATGCTCCACGTGCGCAGCTAGACAAGTGATTTTTTGTTTTGTTTTTGCTGGCTTTTCTTTTTCTGTCATAATTTTTAAAAGGTCATGTTGGTTCAGAGCATCTTCTAAGATGAGTATCCAGGCTCACTCAAGGAAGGCAGTGTTTATCATGTTATTCTGAAGAACCTATTCAGTGTTACAGAGATTTCACTTTTCTTCCTTTTTCAAGGCTAATTCGAGATGGCTGTCTGATTGTCAGTTTGGTTTCCACAGTTAGCACAGTAACCCTGCAAACCAAGTGCTAGAATGACAAGAATGAAGTGCTGCCTAATATAGATAGAACAAAAGTGCCAGTTTCGGGTATTCATAATATTCCCAAACTTTTGTCTCTCGGAATGATCTTTGGATCATTTTGGAAAATAGGAATGTGATTGGTGCTTATTTTTTGTGCAGAGAGATATCTAGGGCTGGCATTCAGAGCCTAACCCTAACCCATCTTCTAGTGGGAGGCGTGGTGGTTTACATCTGTAATCCCAGCACTTGTTGAGGCTGAGGCAGCATTACAAGTTCGAGACCAGCAGGGGCTACAAAGTGAGCTCCCAGATTTAACTGCATAGCAAGACTCTTGTCTCAAAAAGGAAAAAAAAAAAAAAAAAGTAAAAGAAAAAGCCCGAGCCTGTCTTCCTGCGCCTCGTGGCTGGGGGTGCGAGGCCGAGACCCCCAGCAGGGTTGCAGGCAGTACCCAACCTGGCCGAGCTGCTCTGAGACAGTGTGCCTCATTTCAACTCGAAGCCGGCGGTCTAAGCGTCCGAAGTGCAGTGGGGTCCTGCGTTCCAGCCGTGCCATCGTGTATGCCGTGGTCGCCGCCACGGGACCCTGCAGCTCTGGAGCTCGGGTCAGCGAGTGGCCGGGCATGGAGAGGACGCCCTCCTTCAGCGACGGGCGCGCTCAGGGCGGTCGCCGCCGTAGCCCACGAAGGCAGTGGGAGCAGTCGCGCTTCTGCCCGGAGCACGGCACCCGGGCGAGGATCTGCCAGGGTCTACTGCGACTGAAGAAGCAGGAAGCAACGGCCAGGTCTGTTGGGCAGCCAGACTCTGCGGTGGCTCCAGCTGCTCCGCTGCTCTACGGCTCTACTGCTCATCCCCCCCCCCCCCCGCAGTGCGCACCCTGCGAGTGGGCAGCTGGGCCGTCCGTCAGAGCGGCGGGCGCTGATTGGCCGGCTGGCTGTTGGGGGCGAGATGAGGGCGGAGCTCGGCGGTGCTAGCAGGGGCGGCCTTCGCCTCGGGGGCGTCGCTTCCTCAGACCTTGACGCGCTGTCCTGAGGGGCGGGCGGCCCCGCACGTTTGGCCGCTCAAGCGACACCAGCCAGTCGACAGAAGCTTTTCAGGAGCCCTGGGTTCAAAAAAGAAAACTCAGGAACTGGAAAACGCGTGTGCCCTGAGCGAGGTCGCCCTCTGGTTAATTTACCTCGTGTTGAGTGTCGGACAGTTCTGCATGAGGCGCGAGTTTGTACTGATTTCGGCTCGCACTTGGGATTGATTTCCCTAACAAGTCCCCGCAGTTCAAACCGTGGGTGTCCCTGCTGGCTGTAGCTGAGGGAAAGCAGCACGTGGCCGCACGAAGCCCGCGACAGGCGGCCGGGAAAGGGGGAGCGACAGCCGCGCGGTGCCACGCGACGCCCACGGCAAGGCCCAGGCTGCAGAGTGACGCCGGGTGGCCAGGCTCCCTCCCACGGAGACCTCCTGTGAAGTGCGCCACACGGTCCCTCAGGGACGCTGCCTCATACCAGTCTCCCCTACCCCCGGTCCGGGAGCAGAGCCTTGCCCACGTGCTATTTCCGGTCTCCCCTAAGATCGGCGCCATCCAGCTGCGATGCCACATCTCGATGTTCTCCAGACGCCAAGCCCATCACCACGGGGACAGCAGCAGCGCTGCTCCTGATGGCCAAAGGCCACCTGCTGTGGAGATAGATGCCTTAAGTGTGCCCTGTCCAACCCTGGCATCCCGAGGCCAGCCTCGCCCCCCTGCAGTGCGCAATGAACCGGCACCTTGACGTCCTGTGATGAGGGCAGAGCCACTCTGGAGTTAGGAGTACCCACATTTTTCCCCAGGGAAGTGACTCCCCAGATCTGCGAAGCACTGTGGTACTCAGTGGCAGCGTCACGTGGCCTGGTCTTTTCTCTCTGGGACTCGCCTCCTTTTTGTCTTGCCAGGGCAGAAGTTTCTCTGTACCTCACAAGCCAGGACCCCCACCCCGGGAGATTCAGATTGAGCACCTCTGGGTGAAGGCACCTCTTGTGTGTTAGGATTGGAAACTTCTGATGAGACAGATGGGTCCATATCAACCACTGGGATTTTTCTGGAAAAGAACCATTAAGAAGGTTAGGAAATGCTAAGGAAACCCTGACATTCTCCTGTGTGATGCCAGCTCGCTGCAAAGCTGAGCTCCTGTTGAACAAGGTAATAATGTAGGACCTGCGCTAGAACCCTGGAGGCCTTCTGCGCTGGCAGGTGTAAATGCCACCAATGCCATTAATTTTTTAAGAAGTTGGAGCACCGACAGAATTATCGGGGATCCTGAGTAGCTGGCACCAGATGTGTCTTTTGTTGGGGAAGGGGGAGAAGGTGTCACAGGCGATCAGGCTGTAGACGTTGAATGCCTCGATCTGAGGCTGTGGGTCTTGGGGTGCTGAGTGTCTTCTTTCAGAAGGGAGGGAAGGATACAGACACCAGTTTCTTGCGTGCTTTCCCCTCGCTGGTGCTTTCCTCTCACTCGGGCTCTCAAAGTATTATCTTCTGCGGAGGTGTTGACTCAATTATCACTAGGTCCAGCTCCTGTGAGGAGACAGTAAATGGTACTTGGGGCCTCTTTATCTAGACCGTTTTTTTTTTTTTTTTTTTTTTTGCCACAGTTTCTGAAGTGACTGACAGCATGTGCCTCTAACTGAATTCAGCCCTTTTTTTCACTCCTTCCCTGTGGAACAACAGGAAAGTCAGCCACTCATCGTGTCGGGTGCAGACTTTACAGCCTCTGAACAGCCTTTGCATTTGCAGTCTATGAATGCACCATTTGTTGTTTGGAGCACAACTGTTAGATACAACTGGCCTCACAGCCCACTCTGCCTCCAACCAGTGTGCATCGCTGTGGCTTTTTTTTTTTTTTTGCATAGGCCAAATTTTTGCTTTAAATACCCCCATTTTGTCTGCAAGAGGGTTTCTTTGACCCAGTTTACATTTTTAAAACATAAGTTTCAGAAGCAAGGTTTTAATTTAGTTAGAATTCTCTAGCGATCTCAAATAAGTATTTTTATTTATTAAAGGGAGAGATTGATGGCTTGTGTAGTACATGCTTTTTTTTTTTTTCAAAAAAATTCTCAAACAGCAGTGTAACTTTGGAATTGTATTTTAAATTGGCTTGAACTTACTTTTATTTGTAGGTCATTATGTTTCTATTTGACCTTTACACATCATCTCTTTGTCATTATTGCCTTTGGCTTGGAATTCAAGGTAGATCTTAATTTTCTTATAGCAAAATGTGAATAGATGAGGCGATGTGTTAATTTGATAGATTTAACTATTTCACAATATATACATATATAAAAATGTATACACTGTACATAAATACAGATTTTGTAGGGGGTTTCTTTTTTATGTTTTGTTTTGTTGTAATGTTAAGAGTAGTGTACTCAATGGCTCTACCACAGAGCTATACCCCTGCCTGGGAAATTTTATTAACTTTTTTATCACAATTGAAAATATTAAAAAATAAGAGGAGTTGTCAAAACCACAATCTGTAGTGTAATATTCTCAAATATTTTTAGAGTATTTATAGGTAACATTATCATCTATTCCACTTGAAACAGGGTCTCCTTCAAATGTGATACCATTAGTGTTAGAATTTTTGTTTTGTTTTTCTCACATGTACATTTTTTGGCCCTGTGTAATTATAAAAAGTGGTGTTATACAGTTGTCTATTTTGATGTTATTAACATCTTTTTTTCTGTGTTTTCACCTTTTAACAGCTGCACAAAATTGTTATAATACTACTAAGCCTGTCCTGGGCTAAGGAAATGAATTTCTGTTAGTCAGACCATAAACATCCTATAGCAATCGGTTCCGCCGATCCTAATGTCTAAATCTTCCATAAATGAAAAGGTCCCCTGCTGAAACTGCAGAAGCTTTCTGTTATTGAGTCTTCACCTGTTGTGTTTCAAACAGAGGCTCTGGGTTACATTTGTGTTTTTACTAAAATTGACACATTCTAAAGCATTCAAGAGGAAAAGTCTAGGCTTTTGCTTGCTTTTTCACTTCATGTATAGAGGGAAAGGTGTCTTTTTGGAAAGATTAAGTTTCCCGCTACCTGAGGAATCCTGAAGGTTGATGAGAAGATTGGTGGTGAGAAGCAACAGGTTAGGGGGAAATGGAGCTCCTGTTTTAATGCTTCCCTGGCAGTTTTCTCACCCCTGAGTCTGATCTCGCTTTCAGGGTGTGTTTTACATCTGTGGTGGCCCACATGTGGATGCTTTGTTGATCTGGGCCTTTAAACCGTGTAAAGTTTCACTGGACTTTTCTCCCTTTGCTGTAGTTTACAGTGTGAATAATTCTGTGTGTGGCTTAAAATGGCAACTGCACCATCACCAGGAATTTTCACCAGGTAGGAATGAACAGCTTTCCTGTATCAGAACCACCCAGCCTCAGCCACAGTTGATGCCTCTGTTGCTAAGCAGGTACATTTCTGTTCTGGAGGCTGCCCGTTAACCCTAGAAATGCCTGATGGCAAGCCAGAAGGAAAAGAACTTTGTGCCCTCTGTTTACATAGTACCTTATTAAGTGTGTGAAAGCCGGGCCAGCCCAGTGGAACCACGTTGCCTGTTTTAGAGGAAGAGGAGAAGAGCTTGGAACCGCAGGTGGCTGGGGCCTGACAGTTTCCACTGGGACCTTGGCTCCAGTAGTTGCTGGTGCCGGGCGCTGTTGTGGGATCAGAATTGTGGGTTTGACCCTGGTGAGGAATGAGTTGAGACTGTCTTTGGCACTTTGGTCTGTGTATTTGCCTTGAATTGTCTGTCTGGTGTGGGGAAAGGCAGAGAGACTAGAGAGGGGTTGCTGTGTGCATCCATTCGCGAGAAAGGAGTTAAAAGAACATACCGCAGAACAGGTTGGGCAAGACTGTTAAAGCCAGTGATGAAGCCTCCCCTCTTCCTCTCCCTCCTCCTCTGCCCCCACTTCTCTCAGGACGTTGAAACATCTTCAGACTGTCCGCCTCACACGCAGCCTCCCCCCCCCCCCAGCGTCTGGCTTCCTCTGCCCTCGCCAGGGCATTCAATGTGAATAAAATACTTTGTGTAGATGAGGAGGAGGCTGTGTGCGTGAGACAGGCAGGCAGCCGGCTGCAGGCCTTGGCCTGGCCAGCTGTTTCTCAAGCAGTCGCTGGTGCCCTCCACTGTGTAACATAGGCCCCATTCAGCGGCAGCATTCTTGAGCGTACATGTATGCCTCTGCGGGCCCGCGGGGCGGCCAGCCTGGGAGGGGAGCATGGAGGCGGAGCGCAGAAGGGAGTGTGTGTGTGTGTGTGTGTGTGTGTGTAGCATGCACGCAGCCGGATGGAGCAGGCAGTGAGTTGCAGTCACTGCCCAGAGTGCCAGTAAGTCGGGACATTATTGCCTGAAGCATCTGCAGTCAGCTCTGGCTCGTGGGATGCCCTGGGGCCCTGAACACAGAGGAATTGAGCTCTTCAGGAGACAGTTGGGATCTGATATAAGTTCTGCATAGTGTTTGCATCCATTCGCTCCATAAACATACCATATATAGTCAAGCCTGAGCTCACTATAACACATTGCAGGGAACCCCTCCTAAGGCGCCGCTAGCTCCTTTGGTGCTGGGAAGCAGGCTCACATAGGCCTCCTGATGTGTGCAGTGTATCTGGCTTACACATCTCTTAGGGGAGTGAGGTGGGAGAAAAAGTCTTTTTTTTTTTTTTTTTTTTTAATCTTCATGCTATTTAGAACATGTTTCTCATCCTAGTTTTCCTGGCAGTCAGAGAGCTAAAGAATTGTATTGTTGCAGGAGACACCAAATTCCCTGTGTGCATCTGTTTTAGAACAAAGCTTTGTTTTTCTTAGTAGCTTCCACAGCTCCCACATTCTGTGTTTATGGTCCCAGGTCTCCCGCTGTCTGCATTTGGACCATCTTTTCCCTCCGTGAGGATGAGCCATGCCCTGTAATAGTACGGCGTATCAGTGGCCATGGAGAAGTTGCCTCTATGTACCGTGTGTCACCTTCTGCTTTCTGGGGCAGGGCACAGCTCTCGGTAGGACAGCCAGCAGCCGGCAGCCGTTTCCCACTTGGCAAAGCTTGGCCTACGGAGCAGGGAAGAAGCAGGAACAGGAGAGAAATGCAGTTGTTGTTTTTCTCCCGTGAAACACATAGGATCCTGCGTTTCAGCTTGGGGCGATAGCATGAGGCACTTGTGGTCCAGTTAAGAGGACTTCTGCCATCCCCCCTCTCCTTTCCCTCCTTCCTCCCTCCACCCCCACCTTACTGCTTTTCTGCTCAGGACATATGTAGATAACTCTTAAGAAAAGATGATTTGCCACGCTGGGATATTTGAGTAAAGGGACAAGATGGTACTTTCTTTGCCTTGTTTCCTTTCACTGGCCTCCTCAGAGTGAATTATATCTGTGTGTGACAGTTAATTGTACCATCCTTCCCCTTTCCTAAGCTGATAAACCCCTCTCTGTCTGCTTCCATCAAGCCTCTTTGTTTGAGAGCTTCCTAATGCAGGGGAAGAACAAAGTGACACTTTTCTTATTTACTGAAGCCTCTCTAAGGCACATTCATAATGCTCTACATTATATTTTTATAATTTACTTTTTCAATTTAAAGACTTGAACTGTTTCAAGTAGGACAACTGACTAAGGAAATTAAAATTTCCTCAAGGACATGAGTGAGTTTAAGGAAACAAACACACAGACTTAAAAAGCTGTATGTATATTTATTTACAAACTGGTAAGGGCATTTGGAAGGTGATCTTGGTAGGTAATGTTGAGAATAAGACCCTGGCACCATCAGAGGACAAATTATCAGCACAGAGACAGCAACTAATTAGTATGCAAAAGTAATATATCCCTTATGTGGAGGTCACTTTGTTGGCATTCCTAGGTTCAGAATATCCAGTCAGTGATGTGTGTGTGAAAGCTAGCAGAAATATTTTATTGGGGGAAGGGTGTGCAAAATAAAACTTTCAAAAGGTGCAGAGATGCTAGGAAATCCAGGTTCAGAAACACTTATCTTTGAATTGTACTGACCATGTAGGTCCTTGTTGGAGGAGCATTATTTATTCTTACAGTACATCTGGCCCTGACCACCTTGCTTCTCCCATTTCTCAGTCAACAACAAATTTGAGGCCCCAGTTAGAGGTTGAGGGCTGTGAGAGCCCTCAGACAGCAACCAGGAAGGATGTC